TTTTTGCTTTGGCTCCATCCCTTCATTCTTTCTGGAGTTATTTCTCCACTGATCTCCAGTAGCATATTGGGCACCTACCAACCTGGGGAGTTCCTCTTTCAGTATCCTATCATTTTGCCTTTTCACACTGTTCATGGGGTTCTCAAGGCAAGAATACTGAAGTGGTTTGCCATTCCCTTCTCCAGTGGACCACATTCTGTCAGACCTCTCCACCATGACCCGTCCGTCTTGGGTGGTCCCACATGGCAAGGCTTAGCTTCATTGAGTTAGACAAGGCTGTGGTCCTGTGATCAGACTGGCTAGTTGTCTGTGATTGTGGTTTCAGTCTGTCTGCCCTCTGATGCCCTCTCTCAGCGTCTACCCTCTTACTTGGGTTTCTCTTACCTTGGAAGTGGGGTATCTCTTCACGGCTGCTCCAGCAAAGCGCAGCTGCTGCTCCTGACCTTGGACATGGGGTGTCTCCTCACAGCCGCCGCTCCTGACCTTGGACATGGGGTGTCTCCTCATGGCCGCTGCTCCTGACCTTGGACATGGGGTGTCTCCTCATGGCCGCTGCTCCTGACCTTGGACATGGGGTGTCTCCTCACGGCCACCGCTCCTGACCTTGGACGTGGGGTAGCTCCTCATGCCCACTGCTCCTGAGGATATACAAAGGCACATCTTTTATTATTCCTTTGTATTCTGGCTATTGGTGAGAAAAAGAGTTAACTACCAGCATGCGAAATAAATACTAATTCTAAACAAGAAATGGCGGCGCTTTACTTCTGTAGAGAGTGGTCAGGGGAAGGTTTGATGAGACTCGGTCAAGGCTGTGAAAGACAGAGGATCTAGGTGCATCTGCTTGGGTATTTCCTGAGGCATCAGCACTCTGTGCGTTCACTGGGTTCTTTGTCCTCTCTAGATAGAGCCACAGAAAGCGCCCGTCGTCCTTTGGCTGCAAGGGGGGCCAGGAGGCTCGTCCATGTTCGGTCTCTTTGTGGAACATGGACCTTACATTGTCAGAGAAAACATGACTTGTAAGTATTGCTTGGACTCTGGTTTCCCATGGAGAGTTCTTCCTTTGAACCTTATATCTGCTTTAGAAATAACTTAGTGTGAACAGTGAACCCCTGGAAATAGCTTTACAGTTTCAGATTATGAAAACGTAATTTTCTGGCAGTGTTTGAAGGAAGGAGCCAACAGGGTGAGTGTCCTGACGGGGCTGCTTTCTGCCTTGAAATTTGGGTGAAAGGTTCCACGCTTTGTTCTGCTAGTCTACTGCTGACTCAAGCAATCCAGACTTATGAAAACATTTGGCATTTATTACTGTCTGGGTGAGACCTTTTGCATGGGACAAGCGAGTGGAATTATATCCCTAATTATTCATATAACCTGAATGGCGTACACTTCAGCCACACAAATGATCAGGTATCTTGGAAACAAGGTGCTGAGGGCCGCGGGAAGGAATGGAGAAGGAGCTACATCCAGCTCTAACCCAGGTTTATCTCCACCTCAGTTTTAGGGGAGAGGAGATTGTTTACTTTCCCCAAGTCAGAATTTGGAGGGTAAACCAGTTTGTGACTTGGTATACTTATGTACGCAATTCTGTTGAAGTTGTGGGTCTCTTCAGTGTTGGATGGGAGGGAAGATTCTGGAGAATCAGAGGTTAAAGAGGATTCACTCAATTGGACAGATAGGTTTATTGCATGTGTGGGTGACGGGTGTTTCTGCATGGGGCAGTCGCATGGGGTTTTGTTTGCAAAGCTCATCTTAGATGTAGACAGTCTCTGGTTCCGGGAAAGTAAAGGAGAGGAGGGGGAGGGAAACAGCTGGCGTCTGTCCCTGCTGCAGGACAGACACGCAGGGCCAGAGGGACCGCAAGAGTTCCCCAAACTGGAGGGGGCAGTGGGAGTGTTGGGCTCCAAACCAGAGCTAGACGTCAGGTGGAATGTTTTGTTGAGGACTGAGTCTCAAGCCTCTTCTCTGCTTTACCAGTGGGTGCCAGAGACTTTCCTTGGACCACTACGTTTTCCATGCTCTACGTTGATAATCCCGTGAGTACCTGGGGTCCTGTGAAATGGCAGTGTTGGCCTCTCTCGTCTTTTTCTCTTTCATTAAGTACATTTATTAAGTAGAAAAACACCAGATTTTTTTCTTTTTAAAATATAATTGTCAATTTTATTTTTAAAATAATTTTAAAAAATTTTATTGGGCTGCTCCAGGTCTTAGTTACGGCCTAAATGGGGTCTTAGTTGCCGCGTGCAGGATCTCGTTCCCTGACCAGGGTTCCCACCTGGTTTCCCTGCATTGGGAGCACTAAATCTTAGCCCCTGGAGCACCAAGGAAGCCCCTATAATTGTCTATTTGAAAAATACATTTGATTCGATTTGTCCCACCCTTCCTTCAGCATTGAAACACATACATTGCCATATGTAAAATAGCTAACTAATGGGAAGCTGCTGTGTAACACAAGGAGCTCAGGGGGAGGTCCAAGGCGGGGACTTATGTCTACCTGTGGCTGATTCATATTGTCATATGGCAGAAGCCAACACAATAAAGCAATTATTCTCCAATTTAAAAGTTTTTAAAAATTGAGATTTAATTTTTCTAATATGTACCATTATATCCAAGTTTGGGAGTTTTCCTTGCTGCTTTCTCTCCTTCCCTTATTTCTGGTCTTATGAAATGTCCTCTTCACTAAGTTATACCATCCAGGAAGGGATGACTTTCTCTCTACTGATAATATGTGTTTCTCTATAACTTGGGTTTTTTTTTAATAGCATGGGAACACCTAATCTTTCAAATAGAGCTCTGATATAAAGAGTCAAAACTAGCCCCTTTCACTTATCACAGTGAGCTGAATGCCTCATCTCAGGGAGGGCAAAAGGTACAATTCTCCTTGGGAAGTTTTTATGAAATCAAATCATATAAACTGCAATATAGGAGAGTAACTTTAGGGTCAACTCCTGCAGAGTGGGAGTATCTGTCCTCTAATCTAACTTCTTTCACTTCCCAGATGGTTCAAAGAGAAAACAGAAAAATAGCAAGGAAAAAAAATCCAACATTCTTGCCCCCCATCATGTTTGTCAGCCATCTTCTTCCCTAGTCTATAACTTCATGTTTACATTAAAGTCTAATTAAATGTCCTGTTCCCTTGGCTGTTTGGAAAAAAATCAAAAATCAAAAATATTTACAACTGATGTATATGGTGGGGGTGCATTCCTTATACATGTTGTTGACCCAAAATAAGTAGTAGCTTTTTCTGTTGATTTACTCAGTTGTCTATGAACTTCCAGGAATAAGGAACTATTAGTTTAAAGCTAATCTTTATTTTAAAACCCCTTATCTGCTGAAGGTGAAAGGGCTTAGTGGCCATATTTATCACAAGTAAAGAAATGGGGAAAAAAACTGGGCACACACACACAACTAGCTTTTATCTTCGGCCAGTAGAGAGTTCCTTCTTAGCAGGACAGAGCAGTGCACCTTCCAGGTTTCAGAGACTTTGAGTATTTTGATACTGTAGCAGGGGGCAGGAAAGATGAGTTTCTCATCCTTAAATAATCATCTGGCAGGGTTTCCACTGCAGGATCAGAGAAGAGCTTTGCACTGCCAGTTTATTTGGGCTCAGAAGAGGGAAGGGGGACATGGTGACATGCAGCGTCCTTCTGTGAGCATGGATGTGTGCACAGGGGTGATGCTGAAAAGCTGAGGCCAAAGGCATGACCTTGGGAATAATGTTGATTTCCTTCCCGTGTGGTGTCTCTCAGCAGGATGTGTGTTTCTCTCTGTTTATACCTGCTTATTTATTTCATCTTCAGGTGGGCACAGGTTTCAGTTTTACTGACCATGTCCATGGATATGCGATAGATGAGGATGACGTGGCCCGAAACTTATACAGGTAAAAGACCCTGGCTTTCTTTTGGCCATCTTCAAACCAAATGATTTTCTACTTCAATATGAAAATTCCTCCAGTAGTAGAAGTGTTATTGATTGGTCATCATAGTCCAGTTCCTGAAGATCTTGTAAGAATACTTCTACATGAGGAGTGCATGCACACGTGCACACACACACACACACACACACACACACACACACACATACATGGCCTGTTTTCCATTTTGTTATGTTATAATTGATAACTGTGAAGTGACCAGCAGAGAAAGTAGCAAGAAGAACTGACATCTTAAGATGTAATTTTGTAAAAATATCCTTTGAAAAACAATAGAAACAGTAGAATTATTCAACCAAATATACTTTTCCAACCTTTCAACTAGCTGCCTGAGAGGTTTCTGCTTGCTTCCAACATTATTTATATATTGAACTTTGGATTTGCCAAGAAACAACATCTCAGATGTTTGTTTGTTTTCTTTCCCAGGAGTCCTTTTGTGGCCATCACAAAATACAGTTTTTCACTCCTGTGTTTCTCCTTCATGCCTTTTCCAAGCTGAAAGCTCAGCTTGCTAGCTAGTCTCTTACTTTTCCTTTCAGATTACAGAGTTATTCTTTTACACAAAAAATTAAGGAAGATGTGAAGTTGTAAACCTGATCAAACAGCATACATATAATATCTTCCTTTCTCTTTTCTTACATTCATTATAGCTATTTTTAGTACATTTTCTTAAAGTGACCTTTCTTATTTGGTCATTTTGTTTCGCAGTCTGTAAATTATTACTAGAGACCAGGTCCTGGATTCTTTCTGATCACTAGGGCCCTCCCCCACCCCACCCCCAACCCTACGCATTGTAATAATTTGCTGAAAGAATCCTAGTTGCCAAAAAGAGTTAACCAGCTCCTCTATGCTGCCCCTCTATTTTCACCAAACACCCCGTCTGCTAATTGGTGAGCAAACCCAACCAATCCCCAAAGTGAAAGTGAATCTAATAGGAGTCAGTGTTTTTTGATCTCTGACAAAAGCTTTCCGTTTTATTCTTCTTTCTCCCCAAGGCGATGGTTGGGAGGGGTGGGGGCAGGGAAGAGGAAAGAGGAACTTTTCAGCCTCTCTCCCAGAGAATGTTTCTTCTCTGCTGCCCCAGAAAACAACAGGGCTGGTGTCTGTCTTGCACACTTTCATTCGCCACACGTCCCATTATTTTAACACGGTCACTCAATCTCCAGATGAGCTGACTAGGACCCACACTTCTGCTTCCAGATCCTGTGGGTCCTTAGCCAGATCCTGGCAGGGGTCCCTCCGCTGCCACCAGCTCAAACACCTCCTTTTCCGCGCCACAGACATAATCCTGACGGCGGTCCTTACAAGTTAAGTCAAGGGCCACGTCTTCCTCATTCCACAGTCATAGTACTGACTGTGAGCTCTCATTTTTCTGGTCGGAAACCTACATCCCCCATACCCTCCTCCTCCAACCCTTTTGGCTTAACTCCAAAAACCCTCAGTTGTTTAACTAGCAAACACCCTGAGGGCGGAGGGTCTGTATTAAAGAAATACATCAGACCCTCTCAGCCAGAGCCCTGCACCCTGCCCTTCCTCTTCTGGCTCTCCCGCCCCTCCCCAGGGAGGGTCCCAGCTTCCAGTTGCCCCTCTGAGTGGATATTTACTGCTGACATGTGGTTCATCTCCTCTTGCAAGACATGTAAAGAGAACCTATTTCAAAGCATCCATTGTTTATAGCTGTTTTAGTTCTTTTTGCTTCAGGCTCTTAGAACTGGAAAATAGCTAATCAAGGGTAGCGCAGAAAACTGATTTCAGCTGTTTCCTTTATGGTTTATACTATTTGTTTCCCTTTGTGACTGTACTCTTCTCCCCAGCTGTCCAGATGGGTGTTTGGAATAAGAAGGTCGCTTTGAAACCTAAAAACAGGCTACTACAGGTTTAAAGAGTAGAACTTTCTTTTTCTCCCTTTAAAAACCATTTTTCTTTTTTCCTGAAAATCCCATCCCATTTCACTATTATTAGTGCACAGCTGAGAGGAGTAGATTCCTAAAAAGACATTTGACATTTACATTTAGGCTGCTTTTCTGTGTGTTTGGAAATGAAACTTTTTCCACAAACAAGATGTTTAGACTTCTTTTCTTTTTTTTTGCTCTGTTAGTCACTCAGTCACGTCTGACTGTTTGCGACCCAATGGACTATAGCCACCAGTCTCCTCTGTCCATGGAATTCTCCATACAAGAATACTGGAGTGAGTAGCCATTCCCTTCTCCAGGGGAATCTTACCAACCCAGGGGTCGAGCTTGCGTCTCCTGCATTGCAAGAAGATTTTTTCCATCCAAGCCACCAGGGAAGCCCATTGCTAAATAGAAAAAACTTCATAACAATGTGACTATGAAACAGTTTTATATATTAAATTGAGAATAGCATTGAACAAAGGGTGCAGATGAGATCATGGCCCGGCCATACTAGATGTGGAATGAATGAATACTGAGGATAGCTCCCCATCTCCTGCAAGAGAACAAAACCACTGGGATCCTTGTTGCTATGCTTCTTTCAGCCAGGCTATCAGTGACTAAAGGTATACGTTGTCTGGCTTTTGTTGGTATGGAGCTTTTGCTGAGATTATTTTAACCTCAGTTATCCTGAATGTCTTGTATTTCTATGACCCTGACATCACTAGAGCTGACCAGAGTCCAGAGCTGTCCTTGGATCTGTAATGTGTTACCATTTGCATCTACCTTCTCTGCCCTGGGAGAAGGAAATGGCAACCCACTCCAGTATGCTTGCCTGGAAAATCGCGTGGGTGGAGGAACGTACTAGGCTACAGTCCATGGGATCACAAAGAATCGGACACGACTGAGCAACTTCACTATCTCTGTCCTGAGTCCATCTTCTCTATAAAATTATCTGAGGGGTGGTTTCTCCTGATCGTTCAACCTTACCTTCTGTGTTTCATCCTGTGTTGTCCCTTAATGTACCTTTCTGCCACTGAGTAGCCTCTCACTAAAATTCTACTTATTTGACAAGGTCTTGACACAATGCCAGCAAGGTTCCAAATGGAAAGACATGGAAGAGAGAGATGCTTTGTGTGCCCTATAGCTCTTGTGCCTGAATAAATGCATTGAGTGCACATGCACACATGTGTGCACACACACTCACACACAGACACACACGTATACTATGTATTAGGTTGATAAAAAAATTGCTCGGATTTTTCCATAACATCTTACAGACAAACTCAAATGAACTTTTTGGCCAATCTGATATTATATGCTTTAGCAGTTGTACTTCTAAAGTTTGCAGTTTAATGTGAGGGTGATTCTACTTTTGAACAACCCTTTACCATGTAATGGTCTAATCCTTGATGAAAACACAATTCAGTGAACAAATGGCATATGTACCTCCAACTTCCCAAATTTACCTTTTTCATTCCCATTTAAGAAAGACCTACTAAGGCATTTCTATGATTAGCCAAATTTTTGTTCAGATCCTACTGTAAAATTAAAATTCCATGATAACTTCCTCAATTGCGACCTTGCCTTGGAAACTTCAACTAGAGAATCCTTTTTTTTCAAGCTAGAAGTAAGCTAGGAGATTATCTCCTTCAACTAAGATTGCCAGATAAAATACAGAATGCCAGTTAAATTTGAATTTCAGATAAACAGTGAATAATTTTTTAATCTAAGTATGTCCTGTGCAATTTTGGGGACAGACTTATACTAAAATATTATTTGTTGTTTATCTGAAATTCAAATTTAGTTAGACATCTGGTATTTTATTTGCTAAATCTGGAAACCCCAACAACTTTCCAACAAATTCTTGAAGGAAATAAGTTTTAAGCTAAAGCACAAGGCTTAATTGAGATTTACTATATTAAATTGTCTATTGCCATTCCAACTAGCAGGAAGAGAGAAAGAGAAGTAATTTTTAGCCTGAAGGTTAAAGAGGCAAGGGTGGAGAATAAACTCCTATTTTTGTCTCAGCTCTAAAGGCAGCGTATTGCCAGCACAAACATGGAGGCTGTGTAATGCACTTTCCAGATTTAGTTGCTACGAAGATTTCAGTTACTATAAATAATAAATAAATACACTGAAACTCTACAGTAGAGTTTAATGTTGGCTTGTTTTTTTTTTTAAGATTTTTTTTATGTGGACCATTTTTGAAGTCTTTATGAATTTGTTACAATATTGCTTCTGTTTTATGTTTTGGTTTTTTGGCTGTAAGGCATGTGGGATTGTAGGTCCCTGACCAGGGATCAAACCTTCACCCCTTGCACTGGAAGGAGAAGTCCTAACTACTGGACCACCAGAGGTTCCAATGCTGGGATCTTAGTGGAGACTTTGAAAATTAAGTTATCGCCAGGATTGCGGTGATTGTAATGACCCAATTTTGCCTCTGTGTAACCCTTGAACTTTCTGCTCCTGGTTTTTCAGGGCCTCCTGGCCTTTCATCTTCACTGGCTAGTTCACGGCTTTTAGTCCCTCAGCAGGATACTGGAACAAAAACCCTACCCAGCTTCTCAGGCATTGCAATCTAGGTCAAGACATTCATAAGGCTTCAGAGTTTCACAAGTTTTTGTCTCCTTTATGAAAGATTCTGTTCAAGTAGAGAATCATTCAATAATCCACCCTTTTCTTGCTTGGTATGAAGTAATTTCTTGAGTCTGTTTAAATCTATTTCAGCATACCAAAGTGGCTGTTGGCAATCTTTAGTAAATGTGGATATTTTGAGCCCAGAGGCCACTTTGCATTTACTTCCATAACTGTGGGCATTTGGTGATTTTCCTTTAGACTGTAGTCATTTTAGGGGGCTTCCCAGGTGGCTTAGCAGTAAAGAATCCACCTGTGATTGTAGGAGACACAAGAGACATGGGTTCGATCCCTGGGCCAGGAAGATCCCCTGGAGTAGGAAATAGAAACCCACTCCAGTATTCTTGCCTGGAAAACTTCATGGACAGAGGAGCCTGACAGGCTACAGTCCATGGAGCTGCAAAGAGTCAAACACACCTGAGCGACTGAACACATACACATCTAGTCAGTTTACAGTTTTTCTGTTCTTTGGTTATTAAAACACTGAAATTCTAGGGAACCCATTAGAATATAGAAATGTTCAGTGTTCCCCACAGAGAGAGGTTGGTAAGCAACTGAGGTTCCCATTACCTCACCACAAACTGAGATTAGTGGGACTATAATGTTTGTAGAACTAACTCCACAAATTGCTAAATGATAGGTGAAAGCCTGTGGCACTTTGCCCAAGGGTCCTCTCAACAGGCAAGTGATTCAAGTTGGTAACCCAGGGATTTGGAAACCTTTCCAGAGTGTTGATGTTCACTTATATGAACTTCTGAGTATCACGGAGCAAGCCTACAAGTATTTTTCTATCCATCCACAGCGAATGGATACGAGTGTCATACACTCATGAGACTTTGAAAACAATACCTCCAGAAGCTTATAGCATAATGGTATCTTAATTCAATGCAAAACCTCTTGTCTAAGGGTGAAACTGGGTAGTATAGTATGATTCCATTTAATTTTTATTGTTGCTTTTGTTTTTGCAGTGCATTAGTTCAGTTTTTCGAGTTGTTTTCTGACTATAGAGACAATGACTTTTATGCCACTGGGGAGGTAAGTTGAAATCATGTTTTCTTGTGTGCTTCCAACATCATCAGGACTGGAATATATTATGACACCTGTGGTTTATTCATTTAGTGTGTACACACACATTAATATTAATTCAATCCATATAAAAAATTCTCAAATCATTCCCTACTATGTCTGAGGCTTTGGACAAGTATTAAAAATTCAGTAAGGAATAAGACATTAATTCTGCCATAAATCTGAGAATCTAATAATAAATACAACACAGAATGAAAAGTACAATTAGGAAAGTAGCTGTAAAGACAAGTAGCTTAAGATGAGCAAATAGCTACCTCTCAAGATGTGATCCACAGGAAAGGTCAGACAGAGGAGGCAAGAATTAAACTGGATTTTGAAGGATGAATATGGGTATATTAGTCAAGGCTCTTCTGCTTACAAGTGACAAAAACTGTATTCAAGGTGGCTTAAGTAAAACAGGGGATTGACTTGTTGGCATCAGGTATGGCTGGATCTGGGTGCTCAAACGTTATCATCAGGATTTTGTGTCACATTCTCTTGATCTAGTCATTTGGCTTTGCTCGTGACTGGTTTCATTCTCAGGTAAGTTCTTTTCACCTGTGCCCTCGCCTCTCCAGGCCACTCCAGAGCTCTAGAGAGCCTACAGGCTAAACTTCTCCCTCGTCTGAATTCCACCACATTTCTAAATCTCATTGTCCGTTTGGAGCCCATGCCCATTCTAGGGGTCAGGGGGATGGAGGATACAGATTGGCCAGAATGGTGCCTGAGGCCCACTGCAATGCCCAGGAAGCAGCGAATCTTGAAACCTTTACACATGAGCCACAAGCTTGAGAATGGGAGATGAGTGGTCTCCAGAGGAAGATCTGAGTGATGATACCAGAGGGAGGGCTGGAAGGATGCAAGCACAGATCACAGGTGTCCATTGTAAGGGTGTCAAAGTGGAAAACGGTCTCAGCTTTTCCAAGGGAATGGCAAGTTAATGGAACTAGGATCTTCCCTCTCTTCACCTTCTTTCTCCTTTTTCTAAACTGTCTAGAAAGGATATCCTGACTATTTAGCTTCTTACACTTAAGTTTTTTTAAAAGACTGTTACCTAGTTAGGATATTTTAGGACCTCTACCAGTAATTCCCTGCTGTTCCTTCCCTTTTAACCCATTTCAGAGGCAGCATGGGGAAGGGGGAAGGAAGTGACACCCCTGTCATTTTGGTAGCAACCTTGGAAAACAGTCAGCAGAACAATCTGCTTAGAGTGTAATGCCTTGTCTTGTGAATAATGTGACAATGTTGTTAACCGTGATGTTGAACTTTTCAGCAAAGCTGCCAAATTTTCAATGAAAAACTTGACTTGTCTACTTCATGTCAGTCTGGTGGTTTCACGCATGCAATTTCTGAATGTGTGCAGGAAAGGAGAGTTTTCTTTTTACACTCTCTGCTGCCGGGATGAATACTTTTAAGGAAACCTGTGCCTTCAGAGTGATGAAGGAAGGTGGGAATGAGGGCGGGCAGGGGCTAGGGTGGAGACGCACTTGCCAGGCAGCAGCATCTCTGTAAGAACCATGCAGGAGATGTTAAATCAGGGGCACACCTTTTTCTAGAAGGAAGAGCACTCAGTAGTGCCTGATGGTTTATTATTTGCAGAATGTGGTGTTTCTCTTTAGTTTGTTCCATCTGGTCTTCTGTTAAGGCTCAGAGGAAGAATGGAGAAGTGGAAGGAATTCTGCATTAATTATTAGGAGACCTGAGGTTCGTTGCTGGCTTTGTCTCTCTCTGAGTGATTCTAGACAATTTCTTTAACTTCTCTGGGCCTCTGAATTTCATCTTACAATCAGAAGGGTTGGTTTTTAAATTAGATCACTTCCAGGGATATTTTGCTTTACTGGATGTTCAACCCTAGTTACCTAGACATACCTTTAAAGCATCTGTATATAAATGCAGTTTTAACATAATACCAACCCCACCCTCCCTGTTGCCACTGTCAAAAAAAAAATGTTGTAATAGATTTTTCAAGAAAGGGAAATCTTTTCTCTTATGAACTCTTAATTTCTTCATACTTTTGGGAGAGGTTGAAAATAATGCTGCTAGATTTGTAGAACTGTTCTTGGAAAAGAAATGCATAAACTCAGAAATGGTTTTCTGCTTCTCATTGCAAATGTGAAAGTGTTAGTTGCTCAGTCATGTCAGACTCTTTGCGACTCTTTGGACTGTAGCCCACCAGGCTCCTCAGTCCATGAAATTCTCCAGGCAAGAATACTGGAGTAGATATCCATTCCCTTCTCCAGGGGATCTTCCCAACCCAGGGATCATACCTGGATCTCCCACAGGCGGATTCTTTACCATCTGAGCCACCAGGGAAGTCTATTGCAAATGTACTGGACCTAAATATCTTCCACTTTTGTGTGCTGTGAATGAGAGTAGCCTGTTGCTCTAAGCAACTTGAGCAGCTGTTCAGTGCCCTGAATTTGTTGTAAAGGAGTCTGGAAGTAATAACAGTATCTTCTGTATAGGGTTGTTTTGAGCATTTAATTAGATAATCCTCCTTAAATATTTAACAGAGTGACTGGCTATAGAGAGTACCCAACACATGATGACTATTACTACCATTCATGTTGAAAAGTTGGATTAATATATTATTGCTTCAAAGCATATGGCCTAATGCATGTAAGCAGGGGTTGAGATGTTTAAAGAGCTCTGCTCACTTGTTTTTGGGGTGTGGCGTTGTCTCCCCTCTTATTTTGAAATCATCTGTAAAAGAAGTTGTTCACTTCATCAGAAGATGATGGTGGAGCTTAACAGCTTTGGATAGTAGCAAAATGCGTGTGGACCAACCGAGGGCCCTCACCCCTGCCGTGTGGACCACGGCGAGGCCACAGCAAACAGTATGGACCTGCATTTGAAGCAGTGGAGAAGGAAGAATTGCTTTGTCTCCTTCCCTTCTCTCCGCTTCTGCCCGGAACACCAACTGGAATTAATTTTCTCTAAAGAGAGACAAATGTGTCTGTAAATCACCCTCCTCGAGGCATGAAAAAAATGTACTTCAAAAAGAGAAACAAGCTGCATTTAATTCACATAATTAACTTTCTTCATAAGTGTTATCCTTTCTGAGCCAGTAACTATTAGTGAGATTGCTCTTTTTCATGAGGTTCAGACACTCTTTAGAATCCGCTCAAATGTACGTGGGCCCAGCTAGAAATTAAAGCAAAACAGCCCTGGTGCATGAAGGCAGGGAGGTGGCAGGAGGGAGGGGTCTGTCCACTGTCCTCTGCGACTGTGGTTTTCAGTCCACTCATGGGAACCAGTGCTTAGGGGCGGTTGTGCCAATGGGTAGGATTGCTTGTGAATGGCATCTGAAAAAACTGAGCATCTCTCTTTGATCAGCAGGAGGGGGGCTGCTTTCCTTAGAAGCAGTTTGCAGCCAGGGTTTATTTGAGGCAAAACTTTGAAGCTATTTAAAAATTAGCGAGCTTAATAGGATACTTTATCTTCATTCACATGAGCAAAATCCTGCTGGGTTCACAGAGTCTGATTTCTTCATTGAAATCATCATGTTCCAATGGGTTCAGAGGGGCAGGATCCCAGGAGACAAGAGCCAGGTTTGCTTAATTTGTTTCATACAATACTAGGCACAGTGTTTAATGGATGTTATAGAATGGCTTCAAGCAAGGCATTTGCCAGATAAAATAAAAATATCGCTGACACGTCTCTGGCTTTTTTTGGTCTCCCTTTCATGGTTCTTCTCTCCCTGTACTGTACCCCAGGCCCAGTGAACCTCCTTTCTATTCTCTTATTTTCCAGTGCCCTAACTCCCACTCTCAGCCTTCCTTTCCTTGGCTGTATGATGTGTGGTCCTAGTTCTCCCAGGCTTCCTCCATCCCCATCATGGTTATTCTGTTTCTCTCCCCAGTTCTGACTTGTTACCAGCTCACTGTCCGTTAGAGAAAACTAAATTAAGCGCACTCCCAGCATGTTGCTGCTGCTGCTGCTAAGTCGCTTCAGTTGTGTCCGACTCTGTGTGATGCTATAGAGCCTGCAGTTCACCAGGCTCCTCTGTCCATGGGATTCTCTAGGCAAGAGTACTGAGGTGCATTGCCATGCCCTTCTCCGGGGGATCTTCCTGACGCAGGGATTGAACTCGCGTCTCCTGCATTGTTGGCAGATTCTTTATCACAGAGCCACCGGGGAAGCCTCTTCCCAGTGTACTTGTCCTTGAATAGAGGATTGAACCTAAGCCCTAGAAAGATGCTTGTCATAGGGGAATTTCAAGTGCTGACACGCCCGTAAAGGGGCAGGCTGGGAGAACTGCCCCGGTGACAGGTTTATACTTGTTTGTGAAGGCTGCACCTTTGTCTTAGCCCAGCCTTGGGATCCTTGAATCTGGTGGTTAGAAGGGGACCTTCTGGAGAAGGAAACTGCAACCCACTCCAGTATTCTTGTGGGAAATCCCAAGGACAGAGAAGCCCGGCGGGCACACAGACGAGCTGGACACGACTGAGCGACTAAACAGCAACTAAGGGGACCTTCTAGAGTGTTCAGTCCCTTTGTTTGATTTATAGATCTTATCTGAGAATATTTATTGAGAGTGAACTTCCAGATGTTCAAGCTGGTTTTAGAAAAGGCAGAGGAACCAGAGATCAAATTGCCAACATCCGCTGGATCATAAAAAAAGCAAGAGAGTTCCAGAAAAACATCTATTTCTGCTTTATTGACTATGCCAAAGCCTTTGACTGTGTGGATCACAACAAACTCTGGAAAATTCTGAAAGAGATGGGAATACCAGACCACCTGATCTGCCTCTTGAGAAACATATATGCAGGTCAGGAAGCAACAGTTAGAACTGGACATGGAACAACAGACTGATTCCAAATAGGAAAAGAAGTACCTCAAGGCTGTATATTGTCNGGGCAGGAGGAGAAGGGGACGAGAGAGGATGAGATGGCTGGATGGCATCACTGACTCAATGGACATGGGTTTGGGTGAACTCTGGGAGTTGGTGATGGACAGGGAGGCCTGGC